GCCTCTTCATCTTTCTCTCTGTGAGGAGCAGCAGGTTCAGCTTTCAGAACAAAGTAACAAAAAACAAAAATGGCATTCATTTTTTTAAATATGTTTATTTTTCTTCTCAAGAGAGTACCAGAATGTGTATTTTATGTTAGTATTTCAAAAAATCTCCTGTGGGAGAATCCCCCAGACCCCCCCGCAGGGGTTGGGTCTTCAGCAGGTCAACTCTTTCACTTGTGAGGAAATTGCAGGATTGGCTCCAGGTCGCCCTTTTTATTTACTACAAGACAAATGTGCCTTTTTATTTCATACAGTTCAATTTGGATTGAGACAGGGAAATAATCTAAACCTCACGCGTGGCGTTTCACTGTCGGGGGGAGCGTGTATGTAATTACATTGCAAATACTGACTTGAGCCCCACCACTGTATGGGTTAGCCCTACCATAGATTACCCAACAAAAATACTCTGGAGCCGCAACTGGCTGCTGTAGAGCTCTGTTCTCCTCTCTGATTCCCCTCAGACCGTCAGAGACCCCAGGAGCACAATCTCAACACTGACAGGTTTTTGTAACAGAGCGTCACAAACTTTACACTCAAGTTGAAATGTGTCACGCTGCACGAATACGCAGGTGATATGAATTTAACATCTTCACTTCCTTCGTGTTGCCAGGCACGGATCTGGGTCTTTGTATTGACTCTACATGTGATCACACAAAGCTCTGTTATATCTGCTAATGCTAAACACAACCAGCTCACCAGGTTATCACTATTATGAATAAACATCTTAAAAAGACATATCATAGATATGCCCAAGTAGTTCAATAATGTTTTGGACAATATATATCGTTTTTAAATCAGTATTTATCAACATTGTTGCTATTTAAAACCATTTTATACACAGACACAATGATAATATAATTGCATATTGAAATATCCTTAGATAATGTTAGCTTACTCTGCTGCGTTTTCCCTTTACAAACTGCTCACATGATTTCATTAAAGAACAGGTTAATACATGGGCGTCGCAGCCATTATATGAGGGTGGGACAAGTCCCCCCCACTTTTTCAAATGATTAGTTTAGACCCCCTCACTTTTACTATGCGGAAAGTCCGTGAATCGGTCTCTCCACTCGCCGCTCTTTGCAGAGCGCTGTGTCAGTGCTTCACTATCAAATTAAATCCATTCCACTTGCTTATTGAGAGAATGCCCAAATCAATGAAACTCCGTACCATGTTTTCACTGCTACTTTGTACCAAGGCAGATTCTCACATAGCGCGCGCATGTTCAAGGAGTGTTGTCATAGTTGGACAACTCAGATCTGTTGTATGAAGCGATGCCGGTAGCGGAGGTAAGGCACACACACCAAATGTTCAGGAAATGGTTAATACAGCGAAAATCAAAGCTGACAATTTCTTGGTTTGATATGTTTTCTCCCCCAGACAACATGGACATAAGAACATTTTTTTCAAAGAAGAGGAAAGTAAGTCATCAGCTGGTAGCAGTTAATCAGTTAACAGTGATGGCGGCGTCTCACTTCTGGAGAGGAGTTTCGTCTTTATGTCATGATAGAGAAATACAAATACTGAATAGTTTAGATGAGAAAAGGCATCGAAATGCCAGGTTACTAGTATTTATCATGTAAACAGGGAACATGAATAACCCGATCTCTCTAGCTAATGGCTTATTTTCGGGGGGGTTTTTGGACACTTTAAAGCAGGCACTTCTTAATATCTTCTGACATTTCACACACGATCGATGACCTATGACCCGCTGATAAATAGAGAGTCCTTCCAGCGGAGGTAGAGACGCTTCATTTATTCTGTGACTGATGGGGACACGTTTTCAAAAAGAGAGCGCGGCAGCCGTTAACCCCAAAACAACCTTTAAAGAGTCCCTCAGTGTGTCGTGTCTCCTTTAAAGAGTCCCTCAGTGTGTCGTGTCTCTCCTGGGACATGTCTCCATGCTGCAGCACCTCCTCTGTCTGAAACCAGAGCTGCTCTGATTGGTTAGCTGGCCGGCTCTGTTGCGATTGGTTAAACCGCTTAAATCACTCATAAAACCTTATTATTTATCTTTTCACCACATCCAACACATCGTTTCACATCGTGAGGTGACACAGAATCGATGGGTACCCTCATTATCACTGAATTATACGGATTTGCGACGTTATAAACAAAAACAGACAACAAAACGGGTGACGCTCGGTAGCTAGAAATGCTAACATTTTTACCTTGGCTCTGTAGTCTCTCCAAAGTGGTCTTCAATGGCATTAAAACGATAAAAACGCTGCTGAAGTTAATCCATAGGTTAATCCAATGTGTCTGTGTCCCTTTGAAATGATTTCTGATAATCCATGATCAATAAAACGGATAATCCATGCCTTTCCGTTTCTAGATATCAGAGCTAGAGTGTAGCTTCACTCTAATGCAAAATTACATGCGCAAAGCCCCCACCTTTTTGTTTTACAACGAGTGTGTGTGGGGGACTCCCCCTTCGATTCTATTGTCTCTAACGGTCAGAAAGAGGTGTCAACCATCAAAATCGAGCAATGGGGGCCAGAGATATGGAAAATCCACCCAAATGACCCCAGAAGTGGTTTCTTTTTGGCTAAACCTCTCTGAAAAGGTCAAATGTCACTTGTTTTGCATCAATCTTGATACAGGGTACTTATCATATGTTGTACTTTGGATTCCTAAAGCTTTTAGTCTACTAACCCATCATCCAAGGGTAGTTTTCACTATAAGTAAAAAAATATTTTTGGACGGACACTATAATTTACAGTTTTTTACTATGTAAAATCTGAATTTTCTTTAAAATAAAAAACATCTATATTGATTCTGACTTTTTTTACATCCAACTCACAGGTTTATCATTACTTTGAGAATAAAGATTATTAATTTAACCCTTTCAGAAGGGAAGATATGGTCATTTGTTCTGGGAATGTCATTTTCGAGCCTGAGACCTGAAAAACAGGCTCAGAGCTTAACAGGTTAAGTGAATGCTAATTAAAACAAATATTATCATTTTAGAATATATTGAAATGATTATCCTCTTATTTGGCGATAATATGTGTACAATGCTGTGTTGACACATAACTCACTTACTTGTGCAAGTTTGACTGTGGGATCATTTGAGTTTAAAAAACATGAATTGTTATCTGTTGCAAACATGCAGAAACAGACTTAGGATAATTATAGGTTGTCAAACCCGCCTCCTTCACCGTGGGCTTAGCAGCTTTCTTAAGCTTAATCAAATAAATCTCACTAAGCATGGAATACTAATGTCCTCTGAATAAACTCCAGATTAAATAACTTGATTAAATATTCTGGCCTGAGAAGGATATGGCACAAAGACCTTGGTAGTGAGAGTAGGGAGGATGTAGGTTTGGCTACAAGGGATGCGAGAAGCAAGTTTATCCATTATGAAATTGTGCATAGATATTATTTTACAGCCCTGAAATAGTTTAAAATGGGCTTAAATCCAGATTCTCCAGATGGCCAGTCCGCCCCTGCTCACTAACTGAGTCTCTTCTCGGTCATTGTAGACCGAAGGCTTCTCGTTGTACGCCGTCCCGTTCAAATGACAATCACATTTCCATGCTCGCGCCTGGGCCGGGGGGGAGGGGTTACAAGGCTCGCGTCTTGTGCTGCATTCACTTGCACTCGGACATTAGGCAAAGCAAGTTTATTTATATAGCACTTTTCAGCACGCGACAATTCAAAGTGCTTTACAAAACAAATGAAAATACTTTTTATGAATAAATACAGTAAAAACACATTTATATAATGGCATTTTATAACAGGCATTAGAAAGCAAAGATAATAAAATAATAAAAATAAACACCACAGGTATACAATACATGTTTAAAAGGCATACTGTAGTTCGAATATGAGCAGCTCAATTAAAAGCAGCGGCAAAGAGATATGTTTTTAGTCTCGATTTAAAAATGGTAAGCGTTTCTGCGGACGTGCACGATTTGGGTAGTTTGTTCCAGAGTGTCGGGCATAATAGCTAAATGCTGCCTCTCCATGATTTGTTGTTACCCTCGGAACCGATAGCAGACCCGTCCCAGAGGGGTTTTCTCTCATAAATGTCCGAAAAAAAAAAACGTTTCTTTGAAAACAAAGCTAATTTTTCGGGCCAAGTATTATTGCTGGCGGGCCAACAATGTCCCGTGGGCCGCCTGTTGCCGACCCATGCTCTATGGCAGGGGTGTCAAACTCAATTTCATCGCGGGCCACATTAGCATCATGGTTGCACTCAAAGGGCCGGTTGTAACTTTAAGACTATATAAAAATACATATATAAATATTTAATATATAAAATAATGTATTATATTACATTATTGCCTCTGCATTGGGTTATTATCGGTCTACGTCTGAAAGCAGAAGTCTAGGGCAAATAATTGCAAGTCTCTTCAGTAAGAATGTCACAAAATGATTTAAAAAGAAAAGCCACATTCTGGAAAAACTAAAAAAAATAAGTAACATTTTGGAAAAAAAAAGTGAAATTTTGAAAAAAATGTGAAATTTTGAAAAAAAAGTGAAATTTTGAGGAAAAAAATGTAATTCTGAGAAAAAGGCAAATTCTAAGAAAAAATGCATATTTTGAAGAAAGAAATGCATATTTTGAAGAAAAAAAATGCATATTTTGAAGAAAAAAAATCAAATTCTGTGAACAAATTTGAGATGCATTGTGGGACATGTAGTTTATGGGCAACGTGCTTCTGTAAAGTAGCATGTAACCGTATAATAAACATATTATATTCTTTGCAAGCTCTTATGGGGCCACAGAAAATGAAGTCGCGGGCCGGATTTGGCCCCCGGGCCTTGAGTTTGACACCCCTGCTGTATGGGATTGCCCAATGGTACTGCCTTTTTGGAAGGTGGTATCAACAAAGCCTTGAAGGGTGCTGCCTTTGAGTTGGATGCCTTTGGTTAGGGTTATGTTTGTTCTGCATTTATGTATAAAATATGAAAAATGTAATAAAAATCTTAAAGACAAAAGAAACATGATTTTATATTCTGTCTTTCAGAGCAAAAAAGGGAAGAGCCCCCTGCACATGGCGGCCATTCACGGACGCTTCACACGCTCCCAGATCCTCATCCAGAACGGTAAGCATCACTGAGACGAGAGGAGATGAGGCCGCCTCTTTCAGCTGCTCTCTAAACGCTCTCTGCTCTCCGTCAGGCGGGGAGATCGACTGCGTGGACAAGTACGGCAATACTCCTCTCCACGTTGCTGCTAAGTACGGCCATGAGCTCCTGATCAGCACTCTGATGACCAACGGAGCAGACACGGCCAGGTAGAGAAAACACCTGAGCTGATAGCACTGAATAGTAACATGAGGGTGGACAAGGAAAAGAAACATAGCATTTAAAGGTCACAGAGGGGATTATGGGTAATGCTGCAATGATCTGTTTGGTGTTTCAGCCAATCAGAGACAGGCTCTGTATATATCTGAGACCTGTGATATATTGATGAAACACAGTATGATAGGGGACCTTTAAAACACAGATGCATTAATGGGAGTGGTCTAAGTGTGTTAGTTTGACATATTTCTGCACAGGGTTAAGGTTATCCAGAAGGAAGCTAACGATGAACCGCTGTGGACATATTTTACACACCTGAACATTTAAAAAAAAATTGAAGTGCACTCACATTTTTGAATATTTACATTGATTTATCTTCCTCACGTTTATAGTGTAATGCAAGTGAGCAACCTGAACATAGGACCAATGAAAAGGCACATTGTTATATGCATGTAAAGACAGCTCTTTCTGACGAGGAACTAAAGCCCATTTCATCTTCAAAAGCCACCCGTCTCCATTGACACCTCAATCTCTTAATGAGTTCTCTGTGTTGTGTGATGTTTAAAAGTGGCGCTCAGTCACACAGCGCTGAAAATATTCCAAATATTCAGTTCCTCGTCAGAAAGAGCTGTCTTTACATGCATATAACAATACGACGTTTGAGACACAAGTGCCGTTTCATTGGTCCTACTTTCATGTTGTATTACACTATAGACTGAACAACTATAAATGTGAGGAAGATGGAGCGATGAGAATATTCCTAAATTAAAGCACACTTCAACTATTATAGATTTCCAGGTGTGTAAGATACGTCTACAGCGGTTCATCGTTAGCCTCCTGTCTGTTTCTACGAGCTGCATCTACTCCAAACTAACTGTCGTGTACGTCTCGTGCTATAAGACAGTTGAAATGGTTTTTACTGTAATAACATTTTAATGTGCCGTGTTTGTTCCAGACGTGGGATCCATGGGATGTTCCCTTTGCACTTAGCGGTGCTCTACGGGTTTTCAGACTGCTGTCGCAAGTTACTCTCCTCAGGTTGGTCTTTGTTATCATCATCTATGCTTTTATATACAGTTGGACGTCGTGGAGGAAACTGATAAATGATTCATGGATGAAGTTTGTCTTTTGCTATATTTAATAAAGTAATAAAGAAAGTCAATAAACAAGTGACATGGATCTGAAATGCAGGAACAGAGCAGCTTCATCCTCAGAGGAGAGAGAAGTTCTGCTGACAGTCTCTCTGAGGAAACAGCTGCTCCTCCATCCCATCATTAAACCAGAAAACAGCCCTTAAAGGTAGGGTAGGTCATTTTGGAGAAACCGGCTCGAGATCGCTAGAATTTGAAAATACACAGCCGGAAGAAATCTGCCACTTCCTCACAGAGCCCCTCCTCCAACACACACGAACGCGCACATGACCAATGAGGGCACGAGATAAGTTTGTGCACAGATGGAAGGCTGACAGGCAGGTAGGCCATCCAGTTATTTTAGCCGGGCCGGCTCAGATGATTGGTCGTGCTTTTTACAGTACTACGGCTTCCACAGATGATATTTTTTAATGGATCTTTTGTCAAAGCACTTCAGATATTCATTGCTATCGGGATGTTAAGAGCATTCCATGGAATATAACAAAAAGTGTATCTCGAGCCGGTTTCTCAAACTTACCTACCCCACCTTTAAAGGTAGGGTAGGTAAGTTCCACAATTCACTTCAGATACACTTTTTATTCCATGGAATGCTCTTAACATCCCGATAGCAATGAATATCTTAAGTGCTTTGACAAAAAATCCATAATAAATATCATCTGTGGAAGCCGTAATACTGTAAAAAGCACGACCAATCATCTGAGCCGGCCCGGCTAAAATAACTGGATGGCCTACCTGCCTGTCAGCCTTCCATCTGGGCACAAACTTATCTCATGCCCTCATTGGTCATGTGCGCGTTCGTGTGTGTTGGAGGAGGGGCTCTGTAAGGAAGTGGCAGATTTTCTCTGGTTGTGTATTTTCAAATTCTAGCGCACTCGAGCCGGTTTCTCAAACTTACCTACCCCACCTTTAACCATTTGCAAATCCACCTTTTACCCCTCCTGAAATGTAGAAATCCTTAACACATGTCTCTGTTAAACACATACAAGACTACAAATACAATTGAACAGAGTAAAAGGCAATCAGAGTATAAGACTATATGTTTTAAAGCAGAGGTGTCCAAACATTTTTCACTGAGGGCCATGTACAGAAACATATCAGAAGGTCTGGGCCGCTCACTAGAGGAGAGGTTTATTGCCTAAATGTAGGTAAATGATTCTTGATACTTGGACATTCTTCACAGCGTACATCCCAGCTCTCCATAGGGTTAGTTTATCTTGTTATGTGTGTGTGAATCCGGTTTGGCTCTCGGCTCCCCGACCCAGGTGCAGCTCATCAGACAAATGCCGGCCCCACAGCACTGGATCCTGTAAGCACACACACACAGAGCCGACGGCACCCCTCGTGGTGTGGAGGGGTCGTCACAATAACAGACTGCATATTTTCATAATTCTATTACATTTAAAGTCAAAATGTACTTCTATTATATGCTTTGCCTAAAATCATAAAGTCATTTAAAAAGCAGAAAGTGGCACTACCTCACAAAACAATAATTCATGGATTTAACAGAAATAATTATATGAATTGGTGACCTAAATCTGGTGTTGGGATAGAAATGTTGCAGGAGGTTGCTCAATAGTATGTGTGGGTGGCTCTTAAAAGAGCCTTTTAATGTGTGCTGGTGCATTACACGTCGTCTTGCCATGGGACCGTTCCCTCTGCATTGAAGTATGATGTGAAGACCTCCAGAACTCTGATGGCCTCTCTTGCGGAGTTGTTGGCTGCAATTCTTCCTAGACCTGGCAGTGGCTCCACATCAGCAACTGAGAAGGCCCTCTGTGTGTTTGCCTGGGTTGTCCTGCCCAAGAAGTTATGGAGAATACAGGTAGCCTTCACAAACTTCTCTGCAACTTCTGGCTGGACCTCAATTACACGCCTGTACATCCTCCACTGGGATGAGAGAATCCCAAAGGCATTCTCTACAACAAGCCGAGCTCGAGACAGACGGTAATTAAATATTCTGCGCTCTCTGGGAAGGTTGCGCCCAGGGAATGGCCTCATGAGGTTTTTCCTGAGAGGAAAGGCCTCATCTGCAACAAATACATGTGGCAGGGGTCCCAGGTGGTGACCTCCTGAGAGTGGCAGGCCAGCAGGCAGTTGGAGGGAACCAGATTTCAGGGCTTGACCAAAAGCAGAGTTGGCCAGAATGCCACCATCACTAGTTCTTCCATAGCCCCCAACATCAATGACACGAAAGCAACGCTCTGCATCCACAACTGCCAAAAGAACAAGTGAGAATGTTCCTTTGTAATTAAAGAACTGGGATCCTGTGTTTTCTGGGGCTTTGAGGACAACATGTTTCCCATCCAATGCTCCACAGCAGAGAGGAAAGTTCCACCGCTCCTCAAACTTCTCTGCTATTGACCTCCACTCCTCTGTAGAGGGCACAGCCATGAACTCCTCCACAAGGCAGTCCCAGATAGCAGTGGCCACATCAGGGATGATGGTAGAGACTGTTGAGACACCAACACGGAAGCTGTTGGCAATTGTCCTGAATGAATCTCCTGTAGCGAGGTACCTGCAGCACAAAAGAAAAGAAACATATATAAAATAAATCAAACAAAGTTGTATGAAGACATAACCTGAAAAAGTGGTGTAAAGTAACTAAGTAGGCTACATTAAATGGTATGTATTTAATACCTTTCGTTACTTTCCAGATTTGAAATAATGTGAAATATAATCAAGTGTTAAATCAGATTAGACAATTAGTTCCAACTGGAGTAAATCCACAAGCTACCCTGCAGTATACAAAGTCATTCAAACTATCATGATGGGAGTTATTTAAGCATCCCTTTTAAACGTTTATTATAATTAAATAATAACAACAAACAGTTCATTTTGATCCATAGTGCTGTGGCATTGATTCACCATGACGTGCAAGATTCATTAAATATGTTGTATTCATATTAACACGCTAATAAAAAACAAAACAAAGCAATTTACCGGAGACATATTGACAGCTGAGAGGGAACGCCTGTAGTTTGTGTCCATCCGGGAAATCCTGACACCAACCCGAGCCAGAAGATCATCAAACTGGGCACAGGTCATCCTAAAATACCGCTGGAAACGGCAGTCATCCAGGCGCAGTTCCTTGATCAAACAATGATATTCACCAAACTGTGTGCGACGCTTGATTACATTGTGAACCCAGACAGAGCGGCGTTTGTTGCTACGTTTGTAGGACTTCCACAGAAGGTACAAAGCAGCAATAGTTGTTATATCCTCCATAGTCAACGACAGAAATAATCAAAACGATCTTGCATGGAAGTGTAAACAACCTCAACTGTCCGTCAACGGCGCGGCGTGTCAGCGGTATGTCTGTTTTGAATGACGCGATAAAACAAACTGCAAGCCGCGGTGAAACTTGAGCGATTGGACGGTCCAGTCTGTGCCACAGTGACTCCGGACCGCACAGTTAATATTAACGAACGCACCCGTAGGTAATGTAGCTAATGAAGCTAGACCATCATCGCGGAGCAGCAGAGCCTTATTATACATCGATGAGCAGAGCCGACAGGCAGGAAGACTCGAGCACACAGCTCTCGCTTCATTATAATATATAAAAAATAACACCATGCGTGTCATGATGGCACATAACAGCTCGCGGCCGCAGATTACTCCGGGTCCCAGACCCCCCCCATACCCCAAAAATATTTTTATTGCAGATCTACATGAATCACACAAACGACCTATTTTGGATTCAAAATGGCGAATTTCGCCGTAAGGTGACAAGTTTGCATGCCTGAACTTACTACTAATAAATAACTTTAGTGCTGACTTACTTATTTGCACTGAGACTGTATATCAACCATAGACTGTATCAACGCAGCCTCTGTCGGTCTTCTCACTCGCACTTTCCCGCCACATCTGGACGAACAATGAAACCTAGCCAAAGTAGCTAGATAGCATTAAACATATAGCTGCTAATGCTATCAATATAATGCCGATTGAAGAATGATGGTCACAGAAAAGAGTGTAAGCTACATTAAGTTAAAATAAAATAAATATAATAAAAAAGAAGAACGGCCTAAAGGAAAATAATTGTCATCCAGGCAGCTAAACGCAAACAATAGTTAGCGGTTCAACATTGGCAAAACACATTTATTTAAGTTCAAAAATATTTATTTAGACCCCTAGCTTGCTCACATTATGACAATATATCTGCTCACTTTGTTAAAAACGTTTTGTTTCTGTATAACTTACCTAGAGTTAGACTCTCCTCCGCTGACATCCATCCTCCACTGCAGCCAGAGGTGAAATGGCAGTTGGGACATTTGATGGACAGTTGGTCGGACAGTTGAAAAATGATACATTTGAAATAACTCAACCGTGATTGGACAGGACAGTGGATACACTAATGTGTTGACTATGTGCATTTTGATTTTTTCTATGTACACACCTTTATACAGTCTATGGTACACACATGTGTGTGTAAAATGGTTCAGAAATGACACTGAATGTGTTGAATTGCCTTTGACACAGCAGTGTGTTAAAAAAATGACATTAATTCTAGGAGTGTAATACTTTTACAAACACTATAGTAATAATATACATTCATTATGACAATATCATACTATTACTATAGGAGTGTTCTATAGTGTGTTCAAAAAACAACTACAGAAACACTATATATTATACTATAGTAGTACTAATTAAAATAATATAGTCTTACGGAAACACCGAAAAAACCCACTATAGTAGTACTTTTACAAACACTATAGTAATAATATGCATTCACTATGACAATATCATGCTATTACTATAGGATCTGGATAACACTATATATTATACTATAGTTATACTATTTAAAATAATATAGGAATACTACAAAGATCTAGATACATAGTATTACTATTGAAATATTATAGGGCTACTATAGCTAATAAAATGGCACTACAGAAAAAACTATAGTAATACGATAGCTGGTGAAAAATACTATTGAACACTACAAA